GCTCCTTTTCTTCTCCCAGGAAAGGGGAGAGTGATCTGATCTCTCCCGGTCTTCCCAGGACTGAAAGAGAAGAGATCAAATGCCAGATTCCTCCAACCTTTGCAAGGCAGGTGAGCTCTTTTTATTGCCATCAGAGGCACCACCATTCTGGTAAAATTAATTCCTTTTCGTCAAGTAAACATAATAATACAGAGAAAAATGTCGTATAAGGTATGTATAACTGTCCGACTCTTTGTGACCACATGGACCAGAGCACGCCACGCCAACCTGTCTTCCACTGCCTCCCGGAGTTGGGTCAAATTCATGTTGGTTGCTTCGATGACACTATCCAACCATCTCATCCTCTGTCGTCCCCTTCTCCTCCTGCCTTAAAACTTTCCTAACATCAGGGTCTTTTCCAGGGAGTATTCTCTTCTCATGAGATGGCCAAAGGATTGGAGCCTGAGCTTCAGGATCCGTCCTTCAGACGATTCACAAAGTCAGTATAGGGCTCTTTGGGGCCTTGGCATATATTAGCAAAGCTAGCAACTGTCTCTCCCTGAACTGGGATCTTTTTCCATGATTTTACCACAATGTCTGCTATTTGATTCAATGCTTGATCTGTTAGAGCAAGTTGTTGATTCGAAGTAGAAAAATTTCCTTCCCCCCAAAGCATGTCTCTAGTAATGTTAATTCTGGGGTTAGCCCTTTGATTCTTTTCAAACTGTTCTTGTGCTCTTTGCCACCACTCATCCATACATAACAAATTTTGGGCAGGGGGAAGAAGGGACCTAATGAGTATTTTCCAATCAGCAGGAAGAAGGCTTTGTTGAGCCAAATTATCAAGGATAGCCCGGGTGTATGGAGCTTGAATGCCATTATCCTTAATGCTGCATTGCAACTCCTTAATAAATTGATATCCCAAAGGGTCATATCTATCTGGGACACCAGGGTTATTTCCTACTGCAGGTGTACCACGGATTACAGGTAAAGCAGAAATGGTGGTGTTTCCTGCATCCTCTGAATCTAATAAAGGAGAAGCAACTGTTGCAGCAAACAAATTAGACCTTGACCCCTCACCATGATTATCTGCTGGATGACACAGTGGAGGAAATTTGCAAGTAAACCATGGAACTTTTGCAGTAAAAGCTCAATTCTAATCATACCCTCTCCTTGTATTTCTGAGTAAGCTGGCTGAATAGGTCAGTGGTTTAAATATCTGGTTGGAGAACCAGAGGTTCCCCGCTGTGTCTCCCACGGGTAAGGTCAGCCTGTGTGGCCTTTGAGAAACTGCAGGGTCCCAGAAGCAGGGAATGGGGAATGACTTTTGAATATTCTCTACATAGCAACCCCTGAAAAAAAGGGTTGCCATCAGACAGAATTGACTTGATGGCCCATGATTAATATTTCAGATAGTGCTTAATATTAATCAACTATGTTTTCCCAAAACTGTCTCTTTGGAAGTATCAATTCAGGCAAGGGGAGTCCATTCTGTTTGCACAATATGGCTAATTTTTCAAATGTTCCCTGTAAAGCTTTCAGGAGACAGATGCCTTTCAAAGGAGTTAAAGACAGAGCAAAATCTTTGGTTTGACCTCCAGTTAGATTATGCTGTGTGCTATGTGGGGATCCCTTTTCTCAAGGGATGAAGGAAAGACGCGGAGACAAGGATAAGGAAAGAAGAAGCTTCTCTCACTCCTGTGAGAGGTTTATTTATAATACAGAATAAACAAAAAGCATGCTCGGCTCGCCTTTGCCCCAAAGAAGACGGAAGGCTGAGGCGGGCAGGCGAGAGAGAGAGATGGGGGGCTCCAAAGTGAAGGTGGCGGTGCGGGTCCGGCCCCTCAACCGGAGGGAAATAGATCTGCATACAAAATGCGTGCTGGATGTGGATGAAAACAAAGTTATCCTCCATCCTGTGAACACTAACCTGTCCAAAGGAGATGCCAGGTCAAGCAAAGCTTAGTCCTCTCCACTCCCACCAGCGAAACACCGACTGACTTGGAGTGACAGGAAGAGGGAAGCTTGGATGGCGAGGCTGATGTGACATGGCACTCCGGGCCCCTCCACCTCTCTCTCTCTCTCTCTCTCTCTCTCTCTCTCTCTCTCTCTCTGCGTGCGTGTGCGTGTGTGTGTATGTGTACACGAATTGTTCTCATTGAAGTGGCTGGGGCATCTCTAGATGATATACAAGCCTCCAAGCCTTCCAAATGCAGAGTCTCTATCGTGTACATGCAGATTGGCTGCTGCATATTTGATCCTTCCGGGTAGGTGGGGCTCGTCAGCCCTGGAAGGCAGCCCATCTAGGAGAAGGAAAACTCCAAATTTAAACCTCCACTTCCTTGTGGCTATATCCACTAATGGAAAGGGCTTCAGGAGATAACCTCGAGGCAAAATCCGGAGCCGGAGTCCCGGAGGCATTTTCTTTCATTCTGCCAACTCCTGCGACGTTGCTGGAACCAGTTGTATTGGCTCTTGCCTTTCCACTGGACCATTTCAGCAACGTGGAGAGGGGGGATTTGCTGCTTGGGTAACAGCCTATCCTCCATATTATTTTACCCAGGCTTCGTGCTCTGGAGAGGACACTCCAGCTTCGCATACAGCGTCGAAACAACACGGGTTCAGTGTGGAAGAGATTGTAACTCTCGAATTGGCCTTCTCAGCCACACGAGACGCTGTTCCAAGTCCTCCATACAGAGCACGCTACCATAGTCTTTCGAGACTGAAGGATGCCTACTAGAATAAACAAAGCGAGTAACTGTATGCGTGATTGATTACATCCTGTGCTAACAAGCTAGAGCTAGAGTGATAACAGCGAAGTGATGTGCTCATATGTTTTGTCTCATGCTTTGGCTCAAGATTAAGGATGATGTATGCCAATTAAGGCAAGGATGAGGTGATTGCTTTGGCTGTGAATCAAGGGCGATGTGACCCTGCTGCCGCATGGCGTGCCAATGCTTTAGCAAGACCCTTACAGTGCTACATTCTCAAGACATCTTCTTTTTTCTCTATCAGGTAACAAACTCGATGGCCAGAATTATACAGAGTCGCTTCTTCTGGCCCTGAAAAGAATCAAGTTTGAAGCCGGGAAGAAAAGCTTAGAAAAACCCATGAGCCAGAGTGAGCCACGCCTGAAGTGTGGAGATAGATTCAGACCAGTTACGCTAGTTCAGTTTAAAGAACTCTCCCTGGGGAAAAATCACACAAAAAACATGGAATGTGAAAAGAGTTTCAGCGGGAGAAGAAATCTGTGTTCACATCGAAGAACTCACACGGGGAAATGTGGAAAGAGCTTTAGTGACAGTGGTCAGCTTAGGGTACATCAAAAGACACACACTGGTGAGAAACCACATAAATGCATGGAATGTGGAAAGAGCTTTAGTGACAGTGGTCAGCTTAGGGTACATCAAAAGACACACACTGGTGAGAAACCACATAAATGCATGGAATGTGGAAAGAGCTTTAGTGACAGTGGTCAGCTTAGGGTACATCAAAAGACACACACTGGTGAGAAACCACATAAATGCATGGAATGTGGAAAGAGCTTTAGTGACAGTGGTCAGCTTAGGGTACATCAAAAGACACACACTGGTGAGAAACCACATAAATGCATGGAATGTGGAAAGAGCTTTAGTGACAGTGGTCAGCTTAGGGTACATCAAAAGACACACACTGGTGAGAAACCACATAAATGCATGGAATGTGGAAAGAGCTTTAGTGACAGTGGTCAGCTTAGGGTACATCAAAAGACACACACTGGTGAGAAACCACATAAATGCATGGAATGTGGAAAGAGCTTTAGTGACAGTGGTCAGCTTAGGGTACATCAAAAGACACACACTGGTGAGAAACCACATAAATGCATGGAATGTGGAAAGAGCTTTAGTGACAGTGGTCAGCTTAGGGTACATCAAAAGACACACACTGGTGAGAAACCACATAAATGCATGGAATGTGGAAAGAGCTTTAGTGACAGTGGTCAGCTTAGGGTACATCAAAAGACACACACTGGTGAGAAACCACATAAATGCATGGAATGTGGAAAGAGCTTTAGTGACAGTGGTCAGCTTAGGGTACATCAAAAGACACACACTGGTGAGAAACCACATAAATGCATGGAATGTGGAAAGAGCTTTAGTGACAGTGGTCAGCTTAGGGTACATCAAAAGACACACACTGGTGAGAAACCACATAAATGCATGGAATGTGGAAAGAGCTTTAGTGACAGTGGTCAGCTTAGGGTACATCAAAAGACACACACTGGTGAGAAACCACATAAATGCATGGAATGTGGAAAGAGCTTCAGTCGCAGTGGTAAGCTTAGGTTACATCAAAGGACACATACTGGGAAGAAACCACATAAATGAATGGAATATGGAAAGACCTTTAGTCGCTGTGATGCCCTTAGATTACAGTGGTGCCCCGATAGATGACGGCCTCGCTGAACGACAAAACCGCATGATGATGACTTCTTGTGATCGCTATAGCGATTCGCAAAACAGTCATTTTATGGGGGATTTTCATTTCAGAATGATTTGGTCTGTGCTTCGCGGGCCGTTTGTTCACAAGATGACGATTCTGACAGCTTCTCAAAATGGCGTCCCTTCGCAAAATGGATGGCTTCCCTTCGCAAAATGGGTGTTTTGGGGACAGAAGCTTTGCAAGACAGCGATTTAAAACAGCTGATTGGCGGTTCTCTATGGGCGATCTTTGCAAAACGACGAAGTATTTTCCACATTGGAATGCATTAAATGGTTTTCAATGATTCCAATGGGGGATTTTTTGCATTACAATGTTTTTGCTGTGCAGCAATTTTCCTGGAACAGATTATCATCATCATGCGGGTCACCACTGTACATAAAAGTACTCACACTGGAGAGAAACCATAGAAATGCATGGGATGTGGAAAGAGCTTTATTCAGAGCTCCTGATAAGAAGGCAGAAGGAGCTCATTCAATTTTGTGCTGATTTCCATTGGAAAGAATAAACAACAAAAAACCATACTTGTTAATTCTCTGCCTTTGTAAGGATGGATTCTTAAAACATACGACTGTTGTCTTACTGCCTTCCCTGTTTTTCTGCATGGTGGAGAATTATAGCTCTTAAAATTCTTGACTGCTCTGATTTCTATCCTTGATTTATGTTTGGAAATATACATAGTTCTGATTTGCCTCCTGAAGAAGAAAGTCCATGCCAACAGTTTTCAGTGTCCCACTGGGAGAAATGTGTCCTGTAAGAAGCAGCTACAGATAGCAGAGCATCCAAGACGCTTTGTATACCTCTAGATCCTTGCCTTGCAAGGTAGGTGCATTGCAAAGCAGCCTGAAATTTAAACAAAGGCACATGCACACCCCTCAATATGAGTGTTGCATAATTCTTGCCCAACTAGCAGACTATAGCAGTGGTGTATAAGGATTTAAAGCACAACAAATTCCTTTTTACTCAGTGACCAAAATCCTGTTGCATGGCTGCCGCTTCGTAACTTGTCGTTGCTCAAAGAGTTGTCACATGTCAGGCCAAGGGAGAAGTCCTACCCCGCCAGCAGCTTCGCAGCCTTGCAACTAGTGGCACTGTCCATTGCACAATCATTTTCTATGTCAAGTGGCATAGGATTCCAACCTGTGAGTGACTGTAAAAAGGTTCGTTCTTTTCCTGAGCTTGCTCCCCTTGTTGTATCGTAAAAGATGAGTCATTATTTTGAATAAAAGAACTTTTATTAACAGAACCTATTGCTTCAACTTTGTTCAACACATTAGGACAACAAACAGATAAATGAGGTGGGGAATTATCCCACATCCATAACAGTGACTTTTCTTGGTTAATGTCCTTTAACAATAAGTTCTGCTCTATTTCTCTTTGTTGATCAGTTCTCTCGGTTGTGGCTTGCGTCCGTGGCATAAAGTCCCGCAGCACGGTGGCGAGCCCATTGCCCCTCTGGTTGTTTCTCCCTCATGTAGATTGGGTCTGGACCTTGACCCCTTGGAAAGACTAAAACTGTCCATTCTAAAGGACTAAGACCTGGTATTATAGGACGTATTTTCTCTTCACAAGACCATTCGTTTCTTCCTTCTCTAACACTCCCGGCTAATCTCTTTCTTGGTACTTTGTAAGCAAACGCGCCTTCTTTAACTAAATCATCTGTTGTTTTCTTCAAATACTGAGACCTTCTCTGTATCTGTAGATGTGTTTCCTTCCTCTGTTGTTAAAAACACATCTACCCTCTCTCGGTCATCTCTGCGATACTCCCTCTTGCCTCTCTCTCCCTCTCTTAACTGCCTTAACGGTTCACTTTCCTCACGACTCTCTCTTTCCCCTGCCTCTCGCTCCTCCACGCCCCATGGTCCCCTTTCCTCGTGCCTCCCTATTCCTTCCCCTGTCTCTCTCTCTTCCACGCGCCTTCTCTCTCGACTTTCCTTGCGTCTCTCTCTCTCTCTTTCCCTTTGTCTCTTGTTCTTCTGCGTGGCTTCTCTCCTCTTCCTCCTCGCGTACATCGCTTGTTTGATCTTTTTCCTGTTCTACTTCTGTCTCCTTTCCTGCTGTTATTATTCCTCTCGTCTGTTCTGTGTCCTGCTCACGAGGGGATGGCTCACTCTTTCCTCTGACCTCACAGTGACGAAAGAGCAAGAAAGGTGTCGGAGATTTGATATATTGGATAATATTTCTCTAAGCTTAGAAACAACCATAAAGAGGAGAGACTAATTAGGCCAGAGCTGTGACCTTGACCTGTCCTTTTGCACCATTTCTGTGGTTGAAACTGAGCCCCTTCTCCCCACCTTCCATAGCTGCACCATGAACAGACCCTAGTGGTTCATTGGATGGCTGTATTAAAAAGCAAACTTATTCTTCAGTCTTTCACTGTGGCCTGTTTTACTTACCTGAAGGGAACCCCTTTTCTAGACTTCTCAATCAAGACGGCATTGCCCAATGAAGCTGGAGTCTTCTGAGCCAGGCCCGGATCATGGGAAAGCTAGAAAAAGGCCACAACCAACGCAGAAGACGGAGACTGTGCCAAACAGAGGGAGCTGCCATGATGAGGGACAAGGGGGTGGGGTGGGTGGGAATTAATGACCAACTCTAGTGGTTGAGGGTTTGCTCCTAAGCTCTGTCTGGGCCCCTCCTTTTAAACGAGATAAAGCCCTGTGTGCTGCATCTGAGTAACAAGCACAACTTCTTCCCTGTAAACCCATCTGAGAGCACCAAGGGAGACCTTTTGATCAGGGCTATTGTTCTTGGAGGTGTGGCTGTGTGGGAAGGAGCGGGGTGTGAAAAAAAGATTTCTCCATGATTGTACAGCTCCTTCCCCATCTTGGACTCTCATTATGTTGAGACCTTTTGTTGTTGTTATTGTTGTCCAGATCTTTAGAAATGGATCTTGTGGTGCCTCTCCCCACCCCTGCCTTGACTGAATTGGTGTATTGGAGTAAGAGAGTTATAACAATGGGGTTCATTTAGAGTATTTATAGAGTGGGACAGCCCTTCTTGAGCTTTTTTTTGTCTTGAGAAAGAAGTAGATGCTAAATTAGGATTCAAATGTGCCCCTCCCCGGGCTGTATGGCCCCTACTGAGAACGGCTGGACTAGAAGTCACAGAAGACTTAGTCAGGCACAGAAACTCACTGAGAGGGAGCAGTGGTGAGCTACTCCTTGCACATTTCTAAAACCTTCAAAATGCTGTTAGGGTTGCCGTAAGTTGGAAGTGACCTGAGGGCACACAAAGCAAAAGCAAAGCGTGCTGCTTATATACCGCCCCACAGTGCTTCAAGCACTCTCTGGGCGGTTTACAAGTTAATCATGTAGGCTACACATTGCCCCCCCCCCCAGCGAGCTGGGTACTCATTTTACCGACCTCGGAAGGATAGAAGGCTGAGTCAACCTTGAGCCGGCTACCTGGGATTTGAACCCCAGGTCGTGAGCAGTTTTAACTGCAGTTCAGCGGTTTAACCACTGCGCCACGAAGCTCTTCCAACAGCGACAACAACAGAAAGAACAGACCACAGGCACATCCGGGTCCTTTTATTAGCTTCGGACTAGCAAGACAGTATTGCATCGAAATAGCATGCTGTCATAGAATCCTAGAAAAGGGAAGTTGGAAGGGGCCTCCGAGGCCATCCAGTCTAACCCCCTGCTCAGCCCAGGAAGACCATCAGAGCATCTCTGCCAGGTGATGATCCCAGTTTATCTTGAAGACGTAAAGAGGAGCTGGTTTAGGAAGGAAGGGGAAGGAAATAGTCTCTCTCATGCACCGGCGTGCACGCATGCACTTCCAAATGAAGCCAATCTGACATAGTGAGTTACATTTTTACTCAACGGAGTAGTCTCCTGGGTTCCATCGTTTACGTGTAGTTAATTTGCAGAGATAACATGCTTGAAGAAGTGATGCAAAGTCAACCCTCTCTTCACACTTCTGGTCTAATGTGTCACTTGGGTGTCCTTTCCAAAGGGAGATGTGACACAGTGGACTTCCTCTTCCACTTATTTAACACCCTTCTCCACTTTGAGATGTTAGAGTCATCCAGTATACTGAGGATAAGATTCGGGGATGGATGTTGTCTTTGTGCTGTGCTTGTGAGTTTCCTCTGGGCATCTGGTGGGTCACTGTGTGAACTCAATGCCCTTTTGGCTTGATCTAGCCCAGCTCTTGACTCCTGGCTTCAGCAAAATGATTTGGTTTCCTTGACCTTGTCTGGGTAGCGGTCCTTCATTTCTTCTTCATGGTGTGCTGCTGACTTTTTGGATGATGACTGCTTTCTTTCTCTCATTTCCAGATTGGGTACTGGACTCGTTAAGAAGCTATTCAGATTTAAAGGGCTGTGTAGACATTGGCTTAGTGTCGGTCAGAGGCGTCTCCAGCTAAGGAAAATAAGCCAAGTAGCTCAAATCCACCGTATAAACTGCTTTAGATCTGTGTTTGAGTTAAGAAGCTAGAAAGACAAGAGGCTGGAATTAGAGAACTTACCATTGAAGAAATACGTTGTATCATTGATGACCTGCAGAGAGAATTTCGTCATTCCATCTTTCTTCTAATTTTCCCGAGCTTATCCTTAATGCGTGTTACTGTATATCTAAATTATAATGGATCACTTGTTGAATTGTAAAACATTCTTTCTGCATTCCTCTGTCATCTTGACTTCGGTCAAATATGTGCCTGCTTTTGTAGCTTGTCGAAAGTGCTGTAACCGTGGTTTAGGTTTCTGGCTATGAAGCCAGAGGTCACGAGTTCGATTCCCCACTGTGCCTCCTTGACGGGGGCTGGACCTGAAGATCCCTAGGGACCTCGTCCGGCTCTTAAGGAGTGGTTTGACCAGTTCCACACCTTGCATGGCTGAGCAGGAAGGGATTCAAACCATGGTCTTCAGTCCAGTCCATCACTATCCACTACACCACACAGGGTTCCTAAATCACAATTGCCGATATCAGATCATGGCAATCAATCAATCAATGAACAGCCAGCCGACTGCCGTCCTTGGGGCAAACTCCGGGCAGCCAGGAATAGGGTCCTTCTGGCTGCCTCCTCTCCCCTTGCGGCCCCTAACCTGGCAACAAAGAGGCGCTTCCACCAGCCCATCCGTGGGGTGCTCTTGATGAGAATTGCCAGATACATGGGTACCAAAAAGAGGACATAGAAAGATTAAAAAAAAGATGACAGAGGATGTATTAAATATTCATTTGAATTGTT